AGGAGGCGGAGGGGGCCCGAGACGAGGTGAGGCCAGAGCGGAGCGACCTGCCCGGGGCCCCGGGCGGCCCTTTGCAAAAACACATTGTGTCCGTCTGCATGTGACCGGCTTTTGCATGGCACGCGTATTGCATCGGCTCGCTTTGGCACCGGCGCCCCGGCACTAACCGGGCCGGGGCGCTTTGCACACACAGGTACGCAATCTTCCGCTCCCTCCGTTGCTCTCCGCTGCAGTCGGGCATCCCCGGGCACACGGCAGGATGTCCCCGATCGTCTACCTTGCAGATACAGCCTTCTTTCCTTCCTTCCTCCCTCGCTGGTCACCCGAGACCCGAGGGCTGGGATGGGGTTTCCTTTTCCCATCATTCTGTTTAGAATCAACCCCTGTGGAAAAGGGTGCCTTTCGTTGTTGTCCACGCGGTGCACAGATCTGAATAGTCCCTTTTGTACACAAATGGTGGGTGGGCGAGCGGGCGTGGATTGAGAGACTTTTACCTGGCTATTACTTCTCACCTCTGCTGGTCGGCCTTTTTCTACACTTTCAGTGCATGCCTTTGAGAAAATTGGAGGTTTTTCTACTGTGACTGAATCTTCAACGAGGAACTAATAAATAATTATTCTAGATCAGTTAATTAGCGGATTGTGTATGAGTCTGTTCAAACCGATTAAGAAAAGGAAGTGAAAGCGTGTTAAAGAGTAACTAATTGATTTTGGGGTAAATAACTATATGAGGCAGAACTTGTGTTTCTGGGTATCAAATGCAGCCCAAAGGCTAAATTGGATTGTTAGTCCCCCATTAGAGTTGACCCATTGAATTAATGGGACTTACACAAATCTTGATTTAACAAGTCCCATTGATCCAGTAGGTCTACTCTAGGGGGATGAGCTGTTGTACTTGGCAACAAGGAGTTTTCTCCAGGCCATGGAAGTAAATGAAGGCAGCAGCCACAGAACTAAGGTGACATCTTAATGCCTTCCATGTGGAGGATATTAGATTTCCCTGCTATACTCATATTGCAAAAATGTGTAACAACCTTCTCCCTGAATGCCTATTGCAGTAGCCAACCTATCGTGATCTAGAAACATAGTGACATACTTTATTTATAAAAATGCAATAACTTAATATGAATGCAAATGGTCTGTATAACAATGGACAAACCTTGAGGGTGAGGTAAACCCAAGATGTAGCTGCAAAAATTAAAAACTAGGAAATAAAAGGTACACCTGTCCTCAAGGAATCCATGCATCTGTTTTATACAAAGATAACAGTAATTGCTTTTCTTTTTCATCCTAGCCAGCTGTTGCCTTCAGCTAAAGGTGCTCAGGAGTGCACCTCAGGCCTTCTGCATGCAAAGCATGTCCTCTACCAATGAGTTGCTATCTCTCTCCCATTCCTGATGGTGCACCTGGGTTCTGAAGCAAATGTCAGAAAGTTTATAGTAAGATAGATTGCAAGTGTACCACAGGTGAAACTGCATATTTTCTAGCGGTCCTTTGCAATGGAGTCTGTGTGCACGGGGATGGAGGGGAGGCAGTTAACTAATGGTATCTTTGTCAGCATTCTTTTTTTGGAATGAGGAAGGAAGCAGCCACAGACATTACCTTTAGCATATCATCTTTTCTAGTGGCAGTACTTGTTACATGTTGTTGTTGTTTAGTCGTTAAGTCGTGTCTGACTCTTCATGACCCCATGGACCAGAGCACGCCAAGCCCTCCTGTCTTTCACTGCCTCCTGGAGTTTGGTCAAATTCATGTTGGTAGTTTTGGTGACACTGTCCAACCATCTCATCCCCTGTCGTCCCCTTCTTCTCTTACCTTCACACTTTCCCAACATCAGGGTCTTTTCCAAGGAGTCTTCTCTTCTCATTAAATGGCCAAAGTAGTGGAGCCTCAGCTTCAGGATCTGTCCTTCCAGTGAGCACTCAGAGTTCAATTTCCTTCAAAATGGTTAGGTTAGTTCTCCTTGCAGTCCAGGGGGCTCTCAAGAGCCTCTTCCAGCACCACAATTCAAAAGCATAAATTATTTGGCAGTCAGCCTTCTTTATGGTCCAGCTCTCATGTCCATACATTGCTACTGGAAAAACCAGAGCTTTGACTATGCGGACCTTTGTTGACTTGTTACGTGTAAATACAGCTAATTAGCAATATTAAACATATATTCCCATATGATCCAGTATCTCATTTTAAGAGAAGGACACTCACTGTCTGACTTTCAAGATTGCCAAAGCAAGTTCCCTTTTCCCTTCAAACATTCAAAAATTGTTGAACTAGCCTCCCAAGCTGTTTTTTTGTTTTTTTGTTTGTTTTTAAAAAAGGAGATATATTTTGGGATTGGACTTCTAACTTAAGGTAATTTCATGACCATGAGAAAACTTCAGGCTGTTTGTTCTATTAGAATAATAATGAGAAGGATTGCGAAAGTGTTTCACTAGGAAGTGTCTTCCTAAAGAACAGGGTGGGCATTTGAAGGAGTGTTAGTTCAGTTTGCTACAATAGTGAGTGCGATGTGAAGCCCCATATAGGACAGTTTTATGAATGGGTTAAGTTAGTGGACTACTAGTGGATCTTCTCCACCTGTTATTTATAGTAAAGGCTTGGTGAGTGTTTGTGAGTGCTTTATCAGTAGTGTTACTAATTGCAAGTATGCATCCCATTCATTTCCATTCAAAGCTCATGTGTTTGTCTCAATCTGTCTCTCCTTCATCTGTCCCCATCAGTCTTTTCTGTACATTTATTCTGAATGCTATTCTTGGTCTTCTTACAATCAGGTCTCTCATTTAGACTTCTTCCAACACAGACACATACCTATTTCTCATTTCGTGCATAACACTTTACATCCCCTTATCACCTAACTTAGAACAAAGATACAGAATTGACCAACATCTTTCATTCAGTGCACTTTCACTACAGATATTTATTGGCTACATTTGTATCCTGCCCTTCCTCCAATGAGCTGTCCAGTAGCATACCTGGTTTCCCTCCTTACCATTTGATCCTCACCACAACTCTGTGATGCAGGTCAAGCTGAAAGTATAATGCCCCAAATTACCTAGAAAATTTTATGGTTAAGTGGGGATTAAGACCCAAGTCTACCAAAAGTTAGCCTTATATGCTATCTGCTATATCACACTCGCATATGTGTACATCTTTATTCAGGTCCATCTCCCTCTCCCTAAGAAACCTACAATCTACATTTCAACAGGGAGGGAAATTACAGGAGGTAATGGCAAGAACAAGAGAGGTAAAGAGTAAAAGAAGACAGATAGGTGCGAATGTACCATGTTTCCCCGAAAATAAGACAGGGTTTTATATTAATTTTTGCTCCAAAATGCATTAGGGCTTGTTTTCAGGGGATGTTTTATTTTTTTTTCATGTACAACAATCTATGTTTATTCAAATACAGTCATGTTATCATCTTCTGCTTGCTGCACAATGCTGCACAATGGTGGAGGCCAGGGCTTCATTTAACTGGGGCTTATTTTGGGGGTAGGGCTTATATTATGAGCATCCTGAAGAATCATACTAGGGCTTATTTTCAGGTTAGGTTTTATTTTCAGGGAAACAGAGTAGTTCAGTATTTTTTGATCTTAACACATTTTTGTTATGGATAATGAATCACAGAAGGTTTGGGCAGAGACAAATTAGGTTTTATTTTCAGGGAAACAGAGTACAGTATTTTTTGATCTTAAGACATTTTTGTTATGGATGATGAATCACAGAAGATTTGGGCAGAGACAGAAAGATAAGCAAAATAGTAATTTGTAAGTCTTCTGGGAGAACTTCTGAGGCATTGTTTAGGGAGAACAGGCAGTTTCCTTCAGAAAGCAGGGGACTTAATATCACTATTGGAAGAATGATGGTCGTCAGCAGGAATATAATGGGAAATAAGAGCAAAAAGACAAGGTGGATTAAGGCCATGGAGAACTTCTTGCCTGAGGAAAAAGGTGAATGTATTCTGGGATGGAAAAAAGAATGGAAAGGTAAGAATTAGGGGGGGAAATCATGTGATTTGAGCAGTGAGAAAGGTGAATCATCATCATCATCATCATCACAGTACTGCAGAGCTGGAGAGGACCCTATGGATCATTGAGTCCAGCCCTTGTCAAAGAGGCCCAGTGAGGAATCAAATACCCAACCCCTGGTTCTGTAGCCAGATACGTAAACTACTGAGCTATCCAGCAGTTCGTTTTGGCATTTTGAATGGAGATAGGAATGGAGACGGTGTGACCACTAGGACTCTGAACGCTATTGCTCACCCTTCAGCCATTCTACTCTTAATAGTTTGATCCTTCATAGAGGCAGGCATTCCTATTGGAATAATAGATACAACAACGTTGTATTTAAAGTAACAAATGGGGTGTGATAGATAGCCAAGTGGCACTGATCACCCTGGCCTCTCATAGTTTTCTGTAAGTGACTGCTTGTAAATTGTTGTCCTTAGTCACTTTCTCCACCTAATTCCACCTTCTTCAAGGCAATAATTTTGTTGTTCTTCTTCTCTGTTTGCATAGGATTGATTCTAAGATGCTTCTGTGGTTGTGGTCAGCACAACCTATACATGTAGGTACATATATAGAAGCCGGTTCTAGGGGCTTCAGTACTCAAAGTCAAGAATTTATCTTGTTTTATCCTGAATGGATTTAATGAGACGAGAAGCATAAGTTTTTAATTTTGCTCACTATGAAACATCCTGAATGGCTACTTGTAATTCGTATTCATAAGCTCACTTTGTTAGCCTGCTACACTCTGCTAATAGCCACATATTCTTACATTGAGGCCTTTGGAATGAGCATTATTTTGTAAAGAACAGGCTTGTAAGTATTTGGCCTGTTCAGAAAAGATACAACTGTGCCACACCCGGTTAAATTATTTATACTTACAAATTATATGAAATACTTATATCCCAAGAAAATAGCCTCCACAAAGCAGCATACATTATAGCAAAGTACTGATACATTTTAAAAGAATGGTTGAAATCCTGTTTCTTAATGTAGTAAGTCACAAGTAGAACAGAGCCACTGAATCAG